TGGCTCGCGCGACCTTCTCGGTAAGTGAGCATTCCGACAAAAGTCGTTTGGATATAGACTAACTCTTTAAAAGTACGAGTGTTGCGAGTCTTATCAGCGCTAGGTTTTGTTGAAGAGACTGGTGAAAGCCAATGGATCGGCAATAACGTTACAGCGGTCATGTGTCGGCCGGAAGCGCAAGCGGCGCATATCCACAAGTTCGTCGACATTTCAAAGGAACCAGTCTGCAAACTCTAACCCAGCTTAGATGGGATAACTGTAACGGCACCATGATAAAGATGACCGATTATCTCAGGGCAGTGGGACATCAGACTCCAACTGATCCTGCTAACGGGCCATTTCAACATGCGTTCAACACTGACAAGAGCGCATTCGAATATTGGATTGAGCATCCCGAGATTGCTGCAAACTTTAATACGTTCATGAGAGGCAAGCGTGCATCTCGTCCAAGCTGGGCAGAGTGGTGGCCTGTGAGTGACCTGCTGAGACCCGGTGAGTTTGTCAATAATACTGTGCTCCTGGTGGATGTCGGAGGTGGACAGGGTCACGATACCCAGATATTCAGAGATAGGTTCCCAAAGCAGGGTAGAGTGATTCTTGAAGATCTGCCCGCCGTTGTCCAAGATCTGAACGAGCTGAATGGAGACATCGAAATTGTTCAATACAATTTCTTCACTCCCCAGGTCATCAAAGGTAGTGCCAATTGTGCAACGCAACGACTAAAGCACTGACTGCTCAACGATAGGTGCTCGGATTTACTTTTTTGGCATGATATTTCACGATTGGTCCGATGAGTTTTGCTTGAAGATATTGGCACAGACGGTACCAGCAATGAGGAAAAGATACTCTAAGCTCCTCATCGACGATGCTTTCTTGCCGGTCCAGGGTTGTCCCGCTATACTAGGAGCGTTAGATCTTGCAATGATGGCCATGCATGCCGGAAAAGAGAGAACGCAGCGACAATGGCGAGAACTGTTGGCTCAAGCAGGACTCAAGATCAACAAATTCTGGCCGTATGAGACTGGCAGTGCGACCGGAATCATCGAAGCGGAACTGGCTTAAATATTTGGTGTCCAGAGAGGTTTTGGGTATAGATCGGGATATTCCGATAGAATATGTGGTGTTTGATGATTGGAACGTTTTTGTCGTGCAAGTCATGGCAGAAATGTGAAGAACATCTTCGCTTCAATCTACGCCCCCATACGAATGTGCTGTTGTACTGATTGTGAGGTCTGTTCATATCCAACTGGAGGTCTTTTGGGCAGTCCCGTTTAATGATGCCCAAGGTCTGTCGCGTGCCATCAATGAGCTCGCTTAGATATTCATGTATGCTTAAGCGACCTCGTCCGAGAACGACAACAGTTTTCACGATCGCAGGCGACAATCGGCCGAGAGCCTAGATCCTGGACATGTTAAGGTACGGGTAGACTCTTACTGATACTGCAAGCTACGCGGCTCCAAAGCCCAGAAGTGACTCCAAGCCTCCAATTCAACTTCGATGCGACTTCGACCTCGATGATCTATCCTTCGAGAACTGTGCCGACATCGTATACGATGGTGCATGGCACGCCTCGTGGTCCCCGGAACGTCTAGTCCCTAGAAAAGCTATCGTCCCGGAAAAGGCTATCGTCTCGGGAAGCGCTATTGTCCCCGGAAAGTCTCTAGTCCCGAGAAGTCTGTGGTCCCGGAACATCTCTCAGCCTCTCCAATCGTTCCCAAAATATCTTCGATACCAATACCGCCACCTGCACCTCTTTCCCGGCAACACGACGTTTATCCCGAATAAAGAAGTGAGTTCCAAGCCATTCTCTATGCAGATGCACGCGGCGAGGGTTCTACGCACGAATACAATTCACATTCATCCGCCTCAAATCAAAAGTGAATACGGAAGTGCAGCAAGACTTTCAAGATGCCAGTGCTCGTGATTGTCCCATACTCACGTATGAGCGAGGCCCTCACCGCACTGAAGACACGGCTGGGCGTCGGGTGGGTAAGCTACTCGTATGGGGACATGCTCAGCGCGTAGAAGCTCGCCTTCACCCTAGAATATCCATATCGGTCCGAATAAGCGGCGTAAATGGTAGCAGTAGTAATAACAGTTACCACATCTGAGGTCAGTTCGAGCAAATGCGACGTGCGTAGTCGTTTCCACCAGGTCATGTGGACGAAGCACATGAACTTCGGAGCTTATGGCGGATTCACCGGCAAGCTCGAAGCCTATCCTCGATGAATCATTTCAGAAAACTCAATCATGGACATCCAACGCGCCACTGCCAAACTCGGATGCGTCGACTAAGCGAACCAAGGCTCGCCTGGGTAGGTACTAACGAGCAACTTTGTATCGATCTCAAGCCCCGGAGAACCTGCGATGCGTTGATACGGAAATTTTCAATCGTGCTATGCTTCGGAAGACTTTTGTAACACATGATATGTACGCTGAGATACTACAAGCGGTCAGCGCCCAGAAACGCCGCATGTAACAAGAAGGGTAGTGCAGTGCTATACAAGAATGACGGGCGTCCGACGCTTTATGAGTCTTTTTCATAATGCCGCAGAAATTCCCACATGGCCCTCGTCACAGCAACACCACCGCCTTGGGTCTCGACCGTGCGTCCTCGACCACGATCATTGAGATCGGACGCGTCCACGCCGCCTGGTGTCATAGCATGCATCTGCGTGTTCTCTTTGAGATGTCCACCCGAATGGGGATCGTTTCGGTAGTCATGTGCCCCTTCGGGCAGAAGAGACCCTGGGCTTTGTGGTGGTTCTTTGGCGGTATCCTGCAATGAAGCTCCCCACCAAGCCCCGAATCGACCTTTTGAGTCCTTCGTCTTAAGCGCTGCTTCTCCGTTGTGCATTACCCAGGGCGCATACTCATTGCACGATCTACGATGAAGTGCTCGGACCTCAGGAGCAGCACCGTACGTCTTGCCGGGCTGGACTGCGAAGCGGGGTAGGGGCGCGCAGAAGGTGGTCAGGTGGTGGAAGAAGATTCCCTTGAAGGTATGTCCGTTTTGCGAGCACGTCCCGTAAGGATCGCACAGTTCGGTCAGGATGCCGTTGCTACCAAGTCCGGACCATTCATCAGAGTGAAGCTGTCGTCCACTTGCAGCATTAGCATCAGCATCTTCCCAACCCGTAGCGCGAACGACATTGCCAATCAGTTCGTGGCCGTCAATGAGATAGGTAACGTTTCCGGTTCCTTCCCACAAACCGCGCAGACCTGACAGAAGGACGCCCTGATTGTATGTGTAGACCATTTCGTTTCGATCGTCGCAGTCGGTTTTACTGCGGTTTTTGTAGTAGTCGGTGATGTGAAAGCCATCCACGTAGAGACCTCGTGCATTTGTCATTCCGCTATTCTTCAGCCAGTCGTAGCCATTGATCGCGTTGACAAGATATATAGGGTCGTATATCGCTTCATACGGTGAAGCTGTACATGCGGTGGACCGCGCTCGCTCAGTCTGCTGGTGTGGATCAGCTTGTTGTCGGCCACCTGGGTCGGAACTCATGAAAGGAGAGCAATTGGCATCTCCCGGAAAGTTTAAATACATCGAGATGCTCGCTGAAATGAAAAGCTCGTTAGTGATAGCATTCTTGTATGGCAGCAGATGAGGGCTCCAAGTCATTCCTCCTCCACACAATCTCCAGTCCCAGCCCTTTTCGGCGAGCTCGTAAAACACGCGGGCGCGATGCGCAAACGCAGGGATGAACTGGCGGCCGTGCCAGTCAGACGTTCCATCGGACCAGTCAGTTGGAGGATAATGCAAATCCGAATGCGACTTGATGAACTTGATGCTATCGAGCCACCCTAACACGACCCAGAGGATGTCGTCGTATGCTTGGTTCCGAATCGCGAAGTGATCTTCTCCGAAAAAGTACGTAGTACTCTGAGCAAAGTATTTGTTTATCTCATTCTCGACCATTTGCGCCTCTACGTCTAGCTTCCGTTCCCTGTCGAATGTGCCGGGGAGCGTGTATTCAACAGAGTGTGATAGACTGTACAAAGCGGCCGAGACATGGGTACCCATAACAGCGGCTGTCCAGTCTATCGCTGTTGTCCACTTCCCTATCCAGAGCGCAAAGTACTCTGTCTGCATAACCTCTAGCGCATTGTGAAGTTCCTGCAGCACATTCGTGGCTGTCATGGGGGACGGGAAGTCCGGTCTTAGGCTCGGGGAGCTCATAGGAAGCTGAGACGCGCCGTTCGAGGGCTTGTGGAAGAAGAAGGCGTCTTCACTCGGCTTGATGGCATTATCGAGATCTGTGCGAATTTTAGAAAATTGTAGGATAGCGAGGAGTAGGTACTTACCAACGACATCTCTTCCACGACCCGCGATCGCGTTACTTGGCTCGGAAAAGCTGAACAGTGACGGCAGAACGACCCAAAACAGCCGTGAACCAAGTGCGCCCTTGAATTTCATCGTGCTACGCGCTCCAAACAGCGAAAACAGTCAGGAACGAAGGTACAGTCCGCCGACGACGCGCTTTCGGGCACTGTTGATCTAGGGGCCGCTCTTCCAGCGAGCGGCAACAGCACAGCAATCTACGTAGCGTACATGGGGAGCAAAACGAATTCCGTCTGTACCATGATGCGGGGAGCTCGTAATGAGCGCAATTGAGGGGGCGGTGTCAGCCATAAACCTTGGAAGTAGGCTGAGGCTGCCGAAGCTTTGGCCAAGCTCCTTCTGGGGCGACCCCAACCTCACCTGGTAATGGTACGATCCTCGATGGATTTAAACAGGCATTTCTCAGTTGCTTGGGCTCGACTGGGCTCAAAAGCCTTGTGAGATCCTTTGTTGATTGAAGTTCTTACGAGCCTACCATCTGAGCTGCGGTCATGTTTGCAATGGTGTTGGGATCTGGCGCACGGACCGCAGGGCCCCGCACGTGTCGCCTGTGGTGCCCCGCAGGCGCTCCACACCCACCACAGCAGCAAAAAGTCATCTCCAACGCAGCACCAGCTACCACAACAGCAAAAAAAGAAATCGAGCATGTGTTGATCAGGGTGGGACTCGAACCCACGCATCTTTCGATACTAGTACCTGAAACTAGCGCCATAACCACTCGGCCACCTGACCGTGCTGAAGAGATGGTAGTTTTCGGAGACAACGCAATAAATATCCTGTTTTTCCGTGTCAGCAAGCACACTCCAGACCTGAGAGCGCAAAGAGACACGGCTTCGCCGGTTATCGGCTGACGTACGAATGCTGGATGATGTTCACTTGCTCGCTTAACAGTCGTCGGATGGCGCTCCGCCTGCACTTGTTCCACAAACCCAATATTAACTTAGCGGCTGGTACCAGAGAGTGTAACCGGCCTTTTACTTCTAACTGATATGATGAAGCAATGTCAAAGAGTCAGGGGATCAATAGTAAAAGCTTGCACTTCCTACGGCTGTAGCTAAGCTGACTCTACTGCCCTGCACCCGTCTTGAGCTTCACGCACATGCTCAGTCACTGTGGCAGACCATTCAGGGTGTAGACAGCTTCGAACCGGCTGTAAACTTAGCTACTGGTGGAGCAGCCTTTCATCGCTGCTGATATCGGGCCAGCACAATTTCAACACGCCAGCGAGAACGGATGTGCACAGTGGCAATCGAAAGAGAATCCTGCCTGATCCAGCTTCCATTTATCTTATTAGATACTCACTTTATTCGACCACTTTCCGAGAGATTCACCGCTTGTCCTAGAAGCCTCGGAGTTGGATTCAATTATCTCATGCTTACTACGTTCGCCCCCAGATCATATGATCAAAAACGAATATCATAACGGACGAGCGCCTCCGAGACTTTCATTCGTCCGACGAGATACACTACCATCAGCTCGTAGTTCATTGAGCGGCTGAGTAGGTAATTCATTAAGTGGTGTTCCTGCCAGCTCTCCTCTATACTGGCCCATCGACGGTTCAGGTTGGGCACTAGGTCTGTTATCCAGCTGTTTCTGCAAGAATGCCGTTCGCTTCTTCTCCTTCCACCATAAGAGAAAGCCTGCCACTGTGGCCAGAAGCAGCGGCAAGCCCACACCGACCCCGACGCCTGCCATCGCGCCGCTACTGAACTTGTGTCCTCCCTCATCGCATGTGCCGGTTGACGAACTCAAAGCATGCGAGGCACTCGGACAGGTGTCGTTTCCACTTGATGTGGGGGATGCGGGGCAGGAGAAGTTGGAGTCGAGTGACGAGTTTATGAAGCCAAACTCGACTCTGGTGTCTGGATCGGTGGAGTTGAAGCAATTTGTCTGGTTGATTTCGGCCACGTCCGCGGCGTCAGCGAAGACGATATCGACACACTACATATGCTCCATTTAGTCAGCTCCAGCGCATTTCTCACCTCCGCCATTCAACTCAGTCATGCATGGTTACGCACACTGTAGAGCGCGGCCCCGTGCTTCGCCGCCTCGACAACCTGTATCGTCGCTTCGTCCCCCACCGAAGGTGTATACGACCCTGCCGGTAGCGGGATCTGCGGCAGGCAGAAGTGCCCATTGTAACCGTTGTCCGAGGGCCCCGCGATTTCGAATGGCGAGTATCCCATTTGCATTGAGTAGTTCCCTGGCGTGCTGCCGACCCCCAGGTTAATGTAAATCAGCGCCGTACTGTGCCCTGCAGACATGCCCGGACTCACGGCGATCGCGCCCCCCGTGACGGGCCATTTCGTTCGGTTTTGCGAGATAGGGAGACCGCCACCTGTTATTGTAGAAGTATTAGCTGTCTACATGAGACCAACTTGTCAAAGACGCACCAAGGTCGACTGTTAGAAAAGTGGGAAGAGGTACAGGGATATATCCATTGCATGCCATATGGATACACAAGCGCCCCGCCTGTGTCGCCGACGCCGAGTCCATTGGTGTCTGCGATCGAGCCGTTGGCGCCTAGGTTGTTACCTCTCCATCCTGGATAAGTGATGATGGTGTGCGCTTCTACGAAGACGGCAGATATCAGGATTGAAATTCGAGGGGAGAAGATGACCGCCATTGCCCGAAAAAGGTGACAGAAAAGCGATTATCCCATGGATCCATGATGCTCTATCGAAAGGAGAGCATGCGAACTCGACAAGGCTACATTATGACGATACAAACAGTTGTTGCTGTGGCTTAGGACATGACTGCAGTGGCTGCGCACGTCCTCTTGCGTAGCGATCTGCGTGCGGGGAAAAATGCTCAATTCAGATACCATAGCCTCGATAGCAAGATTAACTTGCAGGCCGTATACGAGGAGCGCGAATCTATTAAGGCATACCAACCTAGGCACACGCACTAAAATCGGCCAAAAGCCAACAAGCTTCATTCGCCTTTGTTATACTCTATAGCGTTCTCCAAAGGGCGTATTGCAACGTTAACAGGCATCCCCTCACTGTAACGCGATCCTCCGAGTATCGACCACTTACGTAGAGAGAGAGAGAGAGAGAGAGAGAGAGAGAGAGAGAGAGAGAGAGAGAGAGAGCAGAGTTGGTTCGTAAGAGCTCTGGATTCATCTGTACGAAGAAGTTATATGATCACGGTAGGGTGCGGCGCAAACCAAAGTTACGGAGATCTTAAGAATTTGCATTAAAATTTGAGAGTTAGTAAGACCTTTGTCTTCGAGCTGGCAGTCGAGACCCTTGCCTGGGGCCTCGTTGTCGCGGTCTAGCTGCAGCTGCTCAACTTAACTTCTTGGCCTTATGATCTTACATCGCTGGCATCTAATTTCCTTTCTAGCTTCCAATCAAACGTCCACTTCGAGCTAGGTCACTGCTCGAGCATGTCCGCCAACTAATGGCCTCGAGTAAGGAATATCCTCCACCTGAAAGACGCCAGGAAGGTTGCAAGCTTTGTATAGGCTGCGAAGACTGCGCGTAGAGAGGCAGAGAGGTATTGGAGTGGACTTCTCACGTACAGTATCGATTCTGTTGGCGAGTCCCCAGAGTTGGATTCAGAAGCCGGCGATTGCTCCCCCTATGCCTTTTCGAAGGTTAGAAAGAAGGACACTTGTCCTCCGGAGGTAATTTATACTTACTGAGGGTGGGGATGAAGTGTCAAAGGAAAGAGCGCCCGTTGGCGGCTCGGTGATAGCTGCCGGTGTCGTGGACATGACCGCGAGCCCATCTTTCAAATCGCTAGATAGGAACGAATCTAACCTAGGTAGTGTATGGGGACTCTGGGATGTAGGCGCCGGCTATAATTTGTGGCGGTCTGGATGCGCCTTCCCGCTACAGCCTCCATCGCTTCCCTCCACCCACTTACTTCTTCTCTCACCACCCTACACACCAGAAAACAATGGAGGAGCATAGCAGCAGCCTCCAGAAACCCAGCAAGAGACCTTGGAAGGCAATTAGCTCTACGCATAGCGCTGATTGAAGACCGTGTGCGTGCGCTCGAGGAAGCGACCACTATCCTCGACCGGCCGCGAAAGAGAAGTGCTTCCCAACTCGACAATGAGTGTGCTCAGCTGCTGGAAGAGGATACCAGAATTGAGAGACGGCTCTGCTTGAATCGTGAGAATAGGGCACAGCTGCAGGATCCTTCTCACACTGGAGGTCTGACTAGCCATGGCGACTCATCTCTCACCTTTACCCCATCAACGGCAACGCGCACTGTGCCCAAGCACGCATCTTTCCGTCGCGCTACTTCAGCAATCAACTCCATTAGCAGCGCTGTACCGGGCCCTGAAATAGACGACAAGAGCAAGAGCGGAACCGATCCCTTCGAGCCTGCTGCTTTGGCGTAGGAATATCCTGGCAGCACCGTTCCCCTCCCAGACATAGACGACAAAAGTGGGAAAGGTACCATTCTCGTTGCTCGGACATCATCTCCCGAACTCCAGAACGTCCAGCAGCTCTCATGCACACGAACCTATCTTCGGAGCCCTCGATGGCAGCTGAGGCCGAATATCCCGAGGTATACTCGCCTTTGACAGTGGAATGGAGCACCCCAAGGAAGATGCATTTTTGACAGTGGAGATGTAGTACCTCGAAGCAAGTGCGTCACTAAGAGCGGAGACACCCATATTCCCTCTACCATCTCTGTCCCCAGCCTTCTCGTTCCCATTATCGACACAAGCTCTAGAGAAGCTACCTGATCTTAGAGCTGTGCGGCGAGACCCGAGCCCCGATATGTGATACGAGAACGAGTGGGATGGATTACAAGGCGAAAGACACTCACATAACTGGCATGTAGGCAAGTCGAATAGACTCACGAAACTCTATGCCCTGGTAACCTTGGAAGGCCTTCCGTAGGGGATGTAATCGAACTTGGTCAACCAATATTGTAGGTATCAAATCTCGCCTCGTCATTCCATTCCTATTGTGTGCCTGTGTGTTGTCTCGCGCTCACTATTCCTTCCAACGCCTCTTAGTGTCACTCTTTGTCTTGTGAGACGTTGTCTGGTTACTCAAGTACTGACTCGGACCATCTCTTCGTTCTCACTCTTGGGACCATCTTTTGGGACGTCTTTCACGTGGTCCGTGTGCAGCTGCTTTTAGCTTCGCGATTTCGCGGCCCCACTCGCCTAGTAGGGTCTTGTATTTACGGATGCAGACCGCAAGGGAGTATAGGGTCGCTCTAAGCAGTGGCGGAGACGATTGCACATTGCCCGGAAATCGATAGCCCGAATCACGGCTTTGGTCGTGTGGTTGACGTGGTGCAGGCTGTCGCGTTCAGTCGAAATGACAATATTGAGGAGCTGGGGGAAAAATGTCTTCGGAGCATACACGATCGTCGGAGTCGACGGCGAGAGACTTCAGGACGCGCTCCGCCATGCGTCTCAGGGTACTTGATTGACCATATGATTTAGCAATCGTACTAGTGATAAGGGTGCATGATAGACTTCAAATAATGTCCCGAAGCCGAAACCCACTTTGCGTGCAGTGAGGTGAGCTTAGAAATAGGACATGCATTATAAACCCGCTCAGCAAACTTGACCCAGGTGGCTGGACAAGTGACACGAGAGTGTCATTTTGGTCATGTCCCAAGTTTGGATGCTGTCTAGGTGAACATGAATTCGATCAAGCGAGGAAATATTCCCGTCGGTATCGCTAGCTTCTGGGTCATTCTACACAGGAACAGAGATAGATGACATCTGCCTAGGTTGTTGGCTCCTTTGA